TCTTTATTTTTTAATCTCAGTTTTTTTTGGATGACTCGAATTGACCCATGGGTCAATCCTAACTCGAATATTTAGGGTTAGGACCTAGCATTTGACAACCCAACCCGAAATTCAACACGACCATAAATCAATCCGAAGTGTCTTCACCCAACCTGAACCCGACCCACCCAACCCAATTGCCAAGTCTCCATCCGCGCATATGCAGTCATGAAATATGCAAGAGGAACTCATGGATATATTACTCATGACATATGCTCTAGGGGAATGAAGAGAGAATATAGATATGGACAAAATTAGGTTTTGAAAAAAAAATAACCAGCACATAATGTGACTAGTAAAAGTGCATGCACATTGCACGTGGAAATTTTAAATCAGAATAACAATTGTCATTATTATTGTTGTTGTTGTTAAATTTTGTATCCCATTTTTTGTCATAAATAAAAAATAATTTAACAATTATTTTTATTTAATATGATGTGTATATAACATTTGAAATGTTTCCTTTTCGACAAATTTATGTATTTTTTCATTTTTTGTGTTCTATCTTTTTTAAATATTTATTAATCAATTATGATATCATGAGTTTCTTTGAACAGTTGAATCATTGACCCCCCATCTAGATAGAAAAATAGCTTTGCTTTCGAATCAGTTTTAAATTATTTATTTCATCTACATTATAAATAATTTTTATTTATCACACTTAATTTTTGCTTAATACAATTAATATATAATTTTTATATATTCTTTTGATTACTTGTACTTTTCTTATTTTTTAAATATTTTTTACTTAATTATAACATCATCAATCCATTTGACCCAAACCACTAACCCACCACCTAAAAAAGAAAATAGTTTTATCTATAGGCTGGCTTTAAATGTTCTATTACATTTCTATCATTGATAAGCTTATTTGTTATGTATAATACTTATTTGTGTTAAATATAATGAATGTATAGAGATGTATACAGTATTTTATTTTTTTCTATAAATATATAACATTAGATATATGCCCAATTTATTCTCTATTTTTTTTATTTTTGTGATTCTTTATATTTTTTATTTTTAAAAAACTTACTATTTGACTACAACATCATTTAATTTTTCTAGGTTGATTTTAAATTTAGCATTCCATTTTCATCATTATTAAAATACTTCTTACATTTAATAGTTATTTTTCTTTAGTATAATGAATATACAATATTAGAGATATGCCCAATTCTTTTTATTCTTTGTATTTTATATTTTATTATTTAATTATAACACTATTAATTAACCAATTTGACCCCAAGTGGTTGAATTGCTTACCCACCATTGGGAGTTAAGAAAATGGTTTTATTTTCAAATTACTTTTCAAAATATTTATTTTTATACTATTAAAATTAATGTTATGGATTTAATTAGTATAATTTAATTATGACAAAAATATATCTTAAATATGAGATTTAATGAGAGAAAATACCTTAATGAGATTTAATGAGAGAGAATAGGGAAATAGTTTTATTTCCAATTGATTTTAAATTTTATATTCCATTTTCATCATTAATAAAAATATTCCTTATCGACATATTAATGTTTAATTTGTCGAATATATGATTTTAAAAATGTTCCTAAATTTTTCTAATTTCTGTATTTTTTTCATTTTTATCTATTTTTTCAATTTTGTTATTTAATTGTGGCAATATGGGTTGGCCCATTTTACCTAAAATGGTTTAATTTCTTACCACCACCTGATGAAAACATTATTTTTTCTAGTAGATTTTAACAATATATGTTTTTATGTTAGGGTAAATTGCTATAACCTCCCCTAAAGTTTGGTAATTGCAATCATCTCCCTTAAACTTCCAAACATAGTTGCAAGTAGACCCCTTTGTTAGAATGCTCTAACAAGATGCATAAAATGTCCAAAATACCCTTGTAGTTACAATTGAAATTTGAAATTTGTTTAAAAAAACAATACAAACTTTATGAACATTAATGAAAAAAAGAGTTTAGAGTTGTAGCCTTACCTTTGAACAATTGATGAAGGGAAAATTTGGAAAAATAAATAAATTTTAGAAAAAAAATAGATAGGAAGGGTTTAGGGTAGTGATTGATATGAAGTGAAAAATTGGAAAATAAACACTTTGGTCAAAAGTAACTACATGGGTCTTTTGGACATTTTTTATGGCTCATGTTAGAGGGTTCTATTAGAGGGGGCTTACTTGCAAATGAATTGTAAAGATCAGGGGAGGTGATTACAATTACCAAACTTCAATGGAGGTTTCATGAATGGTCAGAAACTTCAAGGGAGATTTTTAGCTATTTACCTCATATATATATGTTATTGGAATTATTAATTTATCATGTATGGATTTAATTAGTGGAACTTAATGATGATAAGAAACGAAAAATGACTTAAATATATGATTCAATGAGGGTGAATGGGAGTTAACACATTAAATGTTGGGTTTGATGGGAGGGAATTGAATGCATTGATTAATAGTATTCAAATTATATTTTCTACCCTCACAATAAAGAGGGATCATATCTACCTCCCGAGTTCAGGGCACCCAATTTGGGTAGAGTTAGCTTGAACCCACCCGGAAAAGCTCAAGTTGGGTTGAAGTTTGAGTTAGGGTTAGGGTTCAAAAGTATGATCCGACTTAATTTGGCCAGTTTGAACCAACACAAAGACAATGGTAATTATATCCTTTTACATATGTGTGTCAAGAACTTCAAGTTTTAAGGTGAAAATGTTAAAAAGCATGATAATTACTTCATCTTCATATCAGAATGCTAAAACTGATTTAACTTCCATTGAATAAAGTAAATAAGGACATTTATCAAAGTAAAGTATAGAAAATTGGCCCAATCTGAACTATGGTTGGGTTAGGGTTAGGGTTAGGGTTGACCTTAGCTCGACTTAACTTGGTCCAACTTACACCCTCTTTTGAGCCGATTAGGGGTGCAAGTCAGATCAGGTCAGGTTATGTTGAGGTCAACCCTAATCCAACCTGAATTGTTGAACCCCACAATCCCAACCATAAATGTTTGAGTTGGGTTAGGATTTGGTAGGGCTTAGGTCAGACTCAGGGTGGGCTTGGTTTAGTCTTAGGTTGCCCCAATAATTCATGCCTATTCAATACTAGCATTGTTTTGTGCAAAAAAAAAAAGAGGTTATGAATGCATAGTTGCATAACCAAACATAAACTTATGAATACATAGGTGGATATACATACATGGATAAATACTATATATACAAGTATTTGCTGTTTATATGCATAAATATACTGACTTAATAAAAGCATAATTATATATTTATATAGTATCTATACATGTAAATTTTTAAGTTAAATTGGGTTCGGGTTGGTCAAGGCCTCCCTTAACCCAACCCAATGTTAAGAGTCCGTTTGGCTTGCAGGAATAGGAGTTCAGAATTTGAATCAAAATGGTCAATTATGATTCCAACTATTTTATTTGATGGAATTGGAATCCCATTCCCATTCCTGTGGAATAACATTCCCCAACATGAGAGAATGGGCATTCCCTCCCCCTCCTTTAAGAAATGAGAATTCATTCCAGTCAAATTTGATTCCGGTTTTTTACTGAATCATACAGGTGAAGGGAACATACTATTCCAATTCCGATTGAAAACCAAATTGACCCTAAGGATTCATTTGGTTCGTAGTCGGAGTCGGAATTGAAATGGTTTATTCCCATAGTTTGTTTGGTTCAGACATGAATGAGAATGAAATTGGAATCAACAAGAATGCGATTTTATTCCCAAGGGAGGGATATGGAATGGCCATTCCCTCAAATGGGGGAATGCCATTATAGCAGGGATGGGAATGAGATTCTAATTCGGCCCAACCAAGTAGTTGGATTCCGATTCTATACCCCTATTCCCGCGAAATAAACAAGGCCTAAGTTTTTATTTTTGATAGATCTATATAAATATATTAAGCTGAAATGTGTAAGTATGAAGACATGAGGATGAGGTAATTGAAATCTAATAGTATTATTTGCCTTTTTTCATATAAATTATAAGAATGCCACTCTCTACCAACTCACTCTCTCTTTTGTTTTTTTGTTTTTTTTTTTCCTTTCAAATTAAAAGAATGCTATTATCTCCTACCAACTCTCTCTCTCTCTTGCATTTTTTTCTTTAAAATTTCAAGAATGCCACTCTCTCCTACCGACTCTCTATTTTTCATACCTCTTTTGTTTTTTTCCTTTTAAATTACAAGAATGCCATTATTTCCTACCAACTCTCTCTCTCTCTCTTGCATTTTTTGTTTCTTTCAAATTACAAGAATGCCACACTCTCTCTTTTTCTTACAAGTTACAAGGATGTCATCTCTCTCTCTCTCTCTCTCTCTCTCTCCTTATAAATTACAAGAATGCCACTCTATTTCTAATTGAGGGAGACCTCAGCTCGGCATCTCGGCTGCTAAGGGCCTGAAATTAAAGGTAGTCGAGCTCATACTTCTGAGCTCAAGCTCAAGTTTCTAATTCGAGTTGAGCTCTAACTAGACGACATCTCGACCACTGAGGAAGACCTCGGTCACTAAGGAAGATCTTGGCTCAGCACCTTGACAACTAAGGAAGACCTTAGCTCGACACCTTGTCAACTAAGGGAGACCTTAGTTCAACACCTCGCTTGCTAGGGAAACCTCAGCTCAACACTTCAACAACTGAGGGAGACCTTGATTTGGCACATCAGCAATTGAGGGAGACCTCGGTTGCTTGAGAGACCTGCAATCAAATGTAGCCAAGCTCGAACTCGAGTTCAAGTCTCTAATTCGAATCAAGCTCGAGCCTGATAGTTTATGAGCGGGGCCCCTGCAACATAAGCCCCTCCGCTAGTACCCAATGTTAAGTCGGATTCACACTTTTCAACCTTTAACCATAATCTAAACCCAACCGAGGCCAGTCCAGTAGTAACAAGGGACACCCTAAAAGCTAGAGCCGATGGTTAACATTACATTCTTGGCGCACGTTAGAGAAATCCTTGAACTAAGGTATTTAATGCTCGTTCAACGATTTCGGTATTACTATTTTCCCTCCGATTCTCTTCAATGGGGCATAACAAGTGCAGGCGATTCAGAAGCAGCTCTTCCCACCGAGGCCAGTCCAGTAGTAACAAGGGACACCCTCGGTAATTTCGAGCATCAACTATTTCCAATCTTTCTCTGTTTTATTTCCGCTAACTACTTGGTTTCGGCTTAGCCTTTTGGTGTGCTGTTATATTTCTCTGCATAAAATGCCTCATATGTTTTTTCAAAAGAAAAAGAAAAAATTTTTGGCTTGCAAAATTGAGGTTCATTGCTCATTTTCCTCGTTATTTTGATTGTTGTCAACTTACCTGGAAGCTTGGACTCGGAGATATCTTCTAGTTGGGCAATACTAACTTGGGGCTTGTTTGAATATTGTGCTATGCCTCTTATACAGGGATTATGATCACGACGAGTCTCTCCCAACTGATCTAGGTATTGCCATACTTTATATTACCAACTAGAAAGCGTGAGTTGGCATCGGTTTTCTTTAATTGTGGTTTTTACTGGAAAATTTAATTTGATACTGCATTTATTGCGGTTGACTCTACCGTTTTTATGCACTTTAGAGATTAACACAGGAGAATACTTCATTCCTATAGAATTTATTGATTTATAGGAAGTGATCTTCATTCAAATCAAATGGTTTGGCATTGCCAAGCACCAATTCCAAAACAGTAAAATCAGCTAGTTCTTCATAAACCAAATTACCAAACCCAAATCACAAATGTAGGAAGTGGAAACGAAATTTTGGTTTCCGTACAATTTTATAGTTCGGTGTTTAGTAGATTTGAACACTTAAATACCGTTATCAGTTTGGTAGAAATCATTAATCAACTACATTATCACAAGAACATGAGAGGCAGTTAGCTGAACGGTAAGGTTCTTACATGGGATTTCTAAATTCTTCTTGCATTGTGCTCAATATTGCCACTGAACAGGCAAATTCATTGGTAAAGAAAGTACTCATATGTTGTCATATTCATGTTAATGCACTAATAAACCTGAATCCACTTCTCCAAGCAAGATCCCTTTACCTGTCAATTGCACATAAACGAGATTGTCAAAAGCATCTATATATTTATGTTCAACAACTAATCATGGACCATCCGAAGACTGAGCAAGTTTGTTTACAGAGCACCCTTATCCCCCTAATACTTGCCATGTCAAATGCTGGATGAATGAACATGTTATAACCTCACAGGTTGTTCCTGTCTCGGGTTTTGTCGATCTAGGTACTGTTCATTTGATATATTTTCTCTTCTATCAATGTACAAAGATCATGTTAAAATCTTCAAGTTATTCCTGTTTTGACTTTGCAGATTTAGTCACATTAATATATTCTGGATATATTTGTTTATTATTATTCCCTTAACCAAAGCTTTTAATCCAACAATAGGTTTCAATAATCAATATAACTTGGACTTGAATGGGAAGGTAGTTGGTTGTATCAACTATCAACAATAGGAATTTGGATGTTATCCTGATAAACAATGATTTACGTGTTTACCTCTATGTAAGTTGAATTCCTAATTGGTCCAGATTTATTATAAAAGGTTAAATTCCTAAAGGGGAGATACTTAATTGTATCAACAATAGGCTTTTGGATGCTATCCTGCTAAACAATGGTTTATTTGTTTATTTGTCGGACTTGAACTGGATTGAACAGTTGAACCAATGACACAGTGATCTTTTTGGGGTCCTGGTTATTTGATGATTCTTACAGGCTGAATGATCTAAATGATGGTTAAACCATTGGGATTTCCTGTGGTGGTTTAACCGGTAAAACTGTTATCCAGTGAGCTTTCCTTTTTTTTTTTTTTTTTGTCTCTGAGTCTGGCAACATTGCATTTGACAACTAAGTTACAGTCTGCTTATCAATTGTATCTGTGATGCATCACAGTTGCATTAGCTACTTGCTTGATCTATGTATTTATGTTTTGCTGTACAACTCTCCCCAGAAAAAGAAAAATAACCAAGGAGATGAAATATATCAATCATTTGTTCAGTCCTTTATTGTGTTGCCTGGATGAGATTGTAAGAAGACTGCAACTGAAGCTGGATTAGACTTTTTTGGGTCAAGTATAGCCAAACTTATATGCTCTCTACTCTAAAAAGTTATTTGTAAATGGAATACCCTTTAGGTAGTCATTCTTCTTATATAATTAGCTGCACAAAATTATGATTAAGAATGCAAGCTGGGGTTATTGTGGTCAATCCTAACCCTAACCCAACCTTCCCCAAGCAACTAAAGCTCAATCCCAATCATAACCCAGCTTGAGTCTCAACCTCAACACAACCCAATCAACCTGTTCTCTAGTCATGTTTCAACCTAAAAGAAACATGGAGAAATAACAGAGTGCAGAGAACAATTGAACAGAGAGAAGGATATCATGATTTCATTTAACCTAAAGCCGTGAAAGTGTAAAAAAATTTATGAAATCATCCAATATTCGCAAAATAAGAAATAAAGAAATTATAACAATGACTGAAGATGCATTTTTTTTTAATGATTCCATGGGGCTACACATTGGGGGTTCCCATCCCCAAAACCCATAAACCCCCAACCCTGGTGAAGGCCGGATTTGGTCCCAAGTCTCCATTACAACCAGCTAGAGACTTTACCAACTGAGCTAGTTGACACCTTCGGCTCATGATGCAAATCTAGAGAGTGTTTTACTGTTGTCAGATGATATCCAGTTATACTTAATGTTGATCTGCATTTCCCCTAGTAATCATTCTATTAAGTTCAAATTCTGATTGGTGCTTCTTAGGAACCATGGGCCAGTAAGTTTAGGAGATTCAGGGATAGTAATGATGGTGCAGTAGTGCCATTCTTCCTGAGACTTATTGGGATAGATGATTTGGTCAGAGTATGGTTCTTATCCTTTCTGTTGCCCAGAATTTCCCAGATGCCTTGGCAACCATGTTATGCCCAGAATACAATTTTCTTTCCTTGAAAAAAAAGAGAAACCACTCAAAATCCTTACAAAATGAGGTGTTATTAGAAAAGTTGAAATTTTAAGCATGAGAGGTTCTTTTCTAGTCTTCTTTTCCCTCACTTTGCTTGTTTGCTTCCCTATCCCTAATGTGCCATTTCTTGTCTTCCCCCATTTTATATCTTTCTAATGGATTTTTGTTATCATCAAAGAAAGGGAGATGACTGATCCAACAAATATCTTGCAGATGCAGCAAACGAAGAGGAGTTTCTGGTTCCAAAAATCCAGCTTGCAATGTGGGTATGTTCTGGACATTTAATTCTCTAAATTAACCATAAATCAGGTGGGAAATATGTTGTAATCTTGGTGCCATTTTCTTGTTGAACAATTTGATGTCCCTACAAGGCCATGTTTTGGATATAGTTGAATAATTTTGAAGAGTCAAATATTTTTAGTGATTCAACCAACAAAACTTTTTATGGGTTGGTTTCACAAATATTGGTAAGGAATTGACATTTCATTTGAAGATTATCTGATGTCCAAACAATTTGATTTTTGCTTATTTACAATTCAGAAAGAGGGTAATTAATTGGGTAGTTCTTCTAACAAGTGGGAATGTATACTATGTTTCTTCAGTATTTTTATTCTCTTTTGGTAACTATGTTCACCTTATAATTTTTCTATTTTTTCTCCATTTCTTGGTTGAGTAATATAAATTAATGTTTATAATACATTATTATTATATCCTTTCACATTTATGGTTTTGAACTTGTATATGATAAATTTAGTAGGTATCCTTTCCTGTCTATAGTTTCTAACTTTATTCATTTGTTGTATATGGTACAATTCAGTAGATAAGTTATTGTGTTTATTATTGTATGAAAATGCACATTTCTTCTATCTTCTGTAAATACATAGTGTTTTGATCAATAACAATTGTGACTTTATTAATCAATAAAAGAATGGTGTACAATGTATTTGCAAAGAGATGTGCCAGGCATCCCATACAATCAAGCCTGTGCAACCTACCCTTACATGTTGAACTTCAAAATTCAAGTTACATCCCATTCCCTTTGTAAAGTTGCCCCTCAGAATAGTTGGGTCCTTTTCACTCATTGCCTAACCAGGGTAGCAGCCATACTATTGGCTGATCTGAACCTTCTGTAAATACATTGTTGAGCTCACAAATCCATTCTCGCAAGCATTTTTTTATTATTTTTTATTTTTATAAGAACAGACTTAGCATACATGCCAGGTTCTGACTTGTTAGACATATTGATACAACATGATTCTTGAGCTTATCACATCTTTCCATGTAATTTGGTGGAATATGAAAATCATTGATCTAAACTATAATATGGTGTTGATTCAGGATTTTGGACAATGTGATGTGAAAAGGTGCACAGGGCGCAAGCTTGCAAGATTTGGCCTGTTGAAAGAAAGTATCTGACTTGATATCGATGTTTAGTGTTCAGTTTTTAGTCGGTGCATATGCTTTCTTGACTTAGATTAGTCTCAATTGTTCTTCTTACTTATGTTCTATCAGTTTCTGTTCACGAATTTGTTTTAACAAATTAAGAAAGAGCAATCTAACGTGGTTTTATGGGGTGTCAAGTTTACCTGCATCTAACAATAGAATTCAAGAAACAGAACAAAGTGGCCATCAAAATGTTTCTGAGAGGAAACTACTTGTACATGAAATGAGTGATTTTTTAGTCAGCATATAAGGTTAGAGCAGAGAATAGAAGAAGAGAGCCAACACAAAATTCTTTTCCAAAGATATGTGTTTTCTTTCCATCCAATATTCTCCTATGTATTTTTCTGTTATCTTCTTCCTTAAAGTCTTTTTACATTTTTCTCCTGTATTTGTTCAACCAGCGAACCAGTAACTTGGGGTTAGAGAAACGTCATTGTTGATCAGAGGCTGCATTTTGATGTCACCACACCCTAATTGACATTTATAGGTCATCACCATACCACTCTTTAGTGGGTCCAGAAGTAATAATTGTGTTTTTTGATAAATGATGAATATTTTATTAACATCAAGAGATTAAATCAGTACAAGCATCCCTTTTAGAGGCACAAGAGCAAACTCCCCTAAATAAAAAACAAAAAAGCAGATTAAAGGAAAATTACAGCTGAGCCACGAGTAAAGTATCCCTGTTTGTCCTTTGTTTAGCAAGACAATCAGTTGTGCTGATTTCCTAACCCAGTGTGCTCTTACATTCATGCTCCCTGTAAACCATTTAAATTTCTTAATTTCTCTCTATGATACCATGGAATAGAACCCGGATTTTGCACCCCATCCCATCACCACCACCTCAGAATCTCCTTCTATTATAAAATTTACCAAACTAAGCTGGTGAGATATCTGAATTCCTTGTATTGCAACAAGCAGTTCAGCCCTAGTAGACTCTTCTTCCCCCACCGGTCCCAAGAATACTGCCAGGATGTTCCCCTCCTTGCCTCTCACCACCCCACCTACACCAGACCGGCCCAGATTTCCTTAACTGCTTCCATCAAGATTCAGTTTTAAGTACTCTTCTGGAGGTGGTGTGCAATCTGAATGTGTTCTAACCTTCTGAGAACTGCTATTTGCCACCACCCTCCAGTTTCCCCAAAAATTGTCAAAGGGAAACTGGTGAAAACAGTCCACAGTTTTTAACCAATGTATCACCCCAGTCATTACACACACTCCCTGATTTATTGTACGCTTCTTTCCTTTTCCTGAAAAATTCTTGCATTTCTATCTTCCCAAATAGACCAAATCAAAGCTGCTTTTGTAAACCTCCACATTATTGCTGAGCATTTTGCTAAAAAATGTTTTCTTTGGAGTGAAAATCCTGTTTAATATTCACATGTATCATCATCATCCAAGCCTCACCAACTATATGGGGTCTGCTATTTCTTAATCTCAAGAACAACTTATTGCTGAGTATTGCCTATTGCTTGCATTTTGCTAAAATATGTCAAAATGTTTTCTTTGGGAGTGAAAATCCTGTTTAGTACTCACATGCATCATCATCATCGTCATCATCCAAGCCTCACCAACTATATGGGTTCAGCTACATGAACCCCTTTTACCATTCCATTCTGTTTAGTGCCATGCCCATTGTTAAATTATGGGCACTTAATACTCACATGTACAGATAGAAGCAAATCAAGGAATGAATTGGCTTATGAAGATTGGATCCATTAATAACATATCGGATAATTCTGTACTTTGTCTTGGGGATGTGCTGCCTTCAGATTTGAATGGTGCCTCTTCCACTTAGTGCCAAAAAAAATATTTATTATATTTCCATTTTAGGGCAAAGGATGTGTCACTTGCACTTGTTATTGCATTACTAGAGCAAGTATAGTATTATTTTCCAAACTCCACCTTCAAGGTGGGTTAGCAAGTGACATGAGTCACTGGCAGCTTTGCATATAAGTTGCCTGAGACTTTTGGTGGCCAGAATACAGCATCTCATATGAGAGTTTGAACTGTTGGCAACTTTAGTTAAACAAATTCAAAGTGGAGGATGATGCAGTGTTTTGTCATAATCCTACTTGATTGGCTTCCTTGCATGGTTTTGTTTTACTTGAAAGATAAATTTTAAATTGAGGGTTGAACGTTTTGCCTCTAGATGAGTTAAAAGGGGCAAAGTGAGAATGGATTGTCTGGTTGCTATGATTAAACACATAGAAGGGAGGAGGGGCCAATGCAACTCATCATCATCATCATCCAAGCCTTATCCCAACTATATGGGGTTGGCTACATGAATCCTATTTCACCATTCTGTTCTGTTTAATGCCTACCCTTATAACCCCTTCCAATTTGCAATAGATCACTTCTTCTCATGAGTGCTGTTGAAGGTGTCCTATGCACATGACTGGACCTTCTTAGTCTACTTTCTCTCATTTATCACCCATTGGATTAAATTCCTTTGAATGACTTCATTTCTGATTCTATCCTTTCTAGATTTTCCACTCATCCATCTCATCATACACATTTCTGTCACTAATTCTTTGGACATGTTATTTCTTGACTGCCCAACACTCTGCTCCATGCAGCATAGCTGTCCTTACAACTGTTTTATAGAATTTTCCTTTTTATCTAAATCTTATTCACCTATCACATAAAGCTCTGGATGCACCCTTCCATTTGGAGAAGCTAGAGCTATTGCTTCTATGGTGACTATCTCATTCACCTAGACAAGGATATTGACTACTCTGTTGGTTGATGGCTAAGCTAGATTAGATGTTGATACAGAAGAATTATGTTTGGCTGGGGGCTCCATTACCTAGAGGGGTTTATATTGGGTTTGATGTATATGCAAGGAACCAAATTCAGGTGTAATCTTTTGGGAAGACAGAATTCTGACCTATTGTTTAAGGCCAAGTTTTTCTTTGTTTTTTTCCCTGATGTACAATTGTTTCACTTTTCATTCTTAATAAAAAAGTTTTCTGTTACTGATCAAAAGAGGGATAAGAAAGTCCTACTTTGAATATGAGCTGGCTACAGTGCTATTGATCTTAATAAACACTTTGAATTTATGCATTGTTTTCCTGTATCGCTAGCCTGATAACTAGAACAATTCTGATTCATGCAGGAACTGCGGATTAATTATGGTTTTGGGGGCATTGTTTTGAGGTATCAAAGTAATTTTACTATATTATTTAAATCATTCACATCTGTGATTCAAGCTTTCTGCCTGTTTAGTCATGCTTTCCATAATTTCTCCTGATACATTATTTGGAGACCAAATCATTGTTTTCTTGTGTAGCTAGTGATTACCACTTCAACCTTTTTTTTATAGGAAATGGTAACTTTCATTAAGCTTGAAGATAAGAAAACTGCAACTGTCACCTTCCAAAATAAGGTGACCCCTCATAACATAATCAATTTTTTTTTTTTTGAGAAAGGTAATGTAACTTTATTAAACTTTTGAAAAGAGCAGAAGAAATACAACAGGCTCCCCAAGGATATTCCCTTGGCCAGGAATCAGCCCCACCTACACAATTCAAATCAGCTCCTAGACCTCAAAAGAGCCCCTAGGCCATAAGTCTGAAGCTCCTTTGCAACTGAAACCCAAGATACCGGCTTTCCAATAGAAAAGGAAATTAAAGCATCCGAATCCTTGGAGACATTCTCAAACAACTTCCTATTCCTTTCTGTTCAAATGGTGCTTATCACTCAATCCGGGATAGAAATCCACACACTTCTGGCAAGCTTTGAGAGACCTTGAAGCTCCCAACACCACAGCAGCTCCAACACAGTTTCAGGCATGACCCAAACTACACCCAGAGCTGAGAAATAATGCCACCAAATAAAGGAAGTGACAGTGCAATGGAGGAACAGATGGTTACTTTCCTCCATAGCTTGACTACAAAACACACATCTGGTCCTGGACCTGCACCCCTCTTTTGTTTAGATTAACTTTAGTTAAACACTTGTCCAACACCGCTGCCCAAACCAGAGCATTGATTTTCGAGGGGGAAATCAGATTCGAAATTCTGGAAGCAGGCACATCATCTAGGTTTCTATCTGAAAGCTTGAGGACAAAGAATTTTACTGAAAAAAGGCCATCAACACCCTAATTCCAGCTCCAACTATCTTCAGACTTCAATACTCGGGTCCAAGGACTGAAGAGATCAACTCTAGCAGCTCAGCAACCTCAACAATCCCCCAATCCTGAAAATGTCTTCGAAATGAAGGGCACCAGAAAACATAGCTGCCAATTACTTCATGGCAATCTGCAACAGCTGCATCCTGGTTCTCAGCAATCTGATACAGCTCTGGAAATGAATCTGAGAGAGGCCTGCTGCTACACCAATGATCTTTCTAAAAAGCAGCCTTTGGCCATTGCCCAATTTAGGACTTAACCTTCTGCTAAAGATTGGAAGTATCCATAATTTTCCTCTATAGAGAGTAGCCTAAGGAGGGAAAAGACGAGATGGTTATCTAGTCACCTCTATCTATTATATTTTAGCTGCAATTAAGTCTCTCCACCATCTGCCTCTTCCCTTCCCAAATATTTTTTTTTTGATAGGAAACGGTAACTTTCATTAGCTAATAAACCAGAAATACAACTGTCACCTACTAATGTGTAAGGTGACCCCTGAAACAAAAACTCCCCATTCACCCCTTGCTTTGCTAGGTTGTCAGCTAAAGCATTTGCTGACCTCGTAGACCTAGAAACTTGTGCATCCAGCTCCCTTGTGAGGCTCAATAATTCCCTTACAGGTTGTTTAAGGGACCACGTTCCTGAACTATTTGATTGCACCCAACCTACTACTGTAAAGACTACTGGAACAGACCAACATAAAGCAGTTAATCAGTTTTACAAGAGGAGGCCACATCAGCACAACTAATCGTCCACTTGCAACAGCTGTAACAGAAAGAAATCAAAGATTGTAAACATTATAAGTAGTAAAGCACAAAGAGAAATAAGATGGTAATTCTTTCGGCATTAATCTCTCTCTCTCTCTCTCTCTCCCAACGAATTCAGGAGGTTGGCCCCCTCGAAGAGCCCTGAGTTAGGCAGGTTCCTAACAAGTTGGTATCAGAGCTAGCATGACCAACACAAGAAACACGTCAGTAGACACCCGAGTGGATCAGATGGAGGTAGAGATTCATCGAATGTCTTCAGATCTCAAAGAAATGAAGGAAGGTTTCACTGCTCTCCTCAATCGACTGGAGCAGGGGGCAACGAACAACGACAGAGGAAGCCAAGAAAAGCGCAGCAATGAAAACAACCGCAAAACAGGGGTGGCAACGAGAGCAGTCAAAATTGATTTCCCCATCTTCTTAGGCGGCGACCCAACTCCCTGGATTCTCAGAGCTGAACGGTATTTCGATTACCATGAGACACCTGGGCAAGACAAGGTAGCTCTGGCTTCTACGCATCTTGAAGGGGAAGCCATCCTCTGGTTTCATTGGTACCGATGGGGGCACCTTCGTCAAACTTGGGCAGACTTCACGGATGCCATGACTATCCATTTTGGATCGTCTGGGTTCGAAGATCATGATGAGAGTTTGGCAAAGCTACGACAGGTGGGATCAGTTAAAAATTACCAGATGGAGTTCGAAAAGCTGGCTGTGAGAGTCAAAGGGTGGACGGAGAAGGCGTTGGTGGGAAGCTTCATCGGTGGCCTAAAAGAAGAACTACGACTGGAAGTAAAGGCGATGCAGCCCACTTCAGTCATAAATGCGGCAGCGCTAGCAAGATTGTATGAGGATAAGTTCGCTCGAGCAAGAAAGGTGCAACGGCCATGGGGTCTAGGAACCAGGATTGGATGACAGCACCAAACAAGGAGGAAGGAATATTGGGCCCAGGCCCATTGGTTCCTTTCAAACGACTGACCTGGGCAAAGATGCAAGCCCGCAGAGACAAAGGACTCTGTTACAACTGCGAAGAGAAATTCGGGCTGGGCCATCGGTGCAAGAAACAACAAGCATTTCTCCTCCAAACAGATGCCGAAGAGGAAGACGACCTCACCGGTTGCGGAGAATCTAACCCAGGGTGGGAAATACAACCCAATGGCACACCTGAAATATCTCTACAAGCCCTTACGGGACTTGCATCCCCTCAAACAATGAGAGTTGTAGGGCTAATCTAGGGATGCCAAGTGTCAATCCTCATAGACAGTGGCGGTTCCCTTAACTTCATAACTCAAGTCTTGGTGGATAAAATGGGACTCCCGGTTCAACCAACAATGACTTTTACGGTTCATGTGGCCAACGGTAATAGCCTATCCTGCAATAGCATTTGCATGGGCCTACCACTTAAGGTTTAGGGTCACTAGTTTGCGGTGGACCTATATCCTCTTCATCTCAGTGGAGCAGACGTGGTGCTAGGCATTCAGTGGTTAAGATAGCTAGGGCCCGTGATCTGTGACTGGGCCCGTCTCACCATGGACTTCACATCAGGGAACTCTACAGTCCATCTACAAGGGCAAACATGCAAGGGTCCAAGGCCCATCAGTCTTGCAACATTAACAAAGCAAATAGGAGATCCGGATCAGCCCATATTCATGCACATGGACTCAAATTGGACCAGCCCATCTTTAGCTGACAACAGCCCAGATGGGCCTAGAGACTTCCAAAGCCGCCTACATCAACTCCATCACTATGGCAGCGTGTTCAAAGAACCCCAAGAACTTCCACCACGCCGGGAGCATGACCACCGCATCCCCCTCATGTCGGGAACTGCCCCAACCAATGCCCAACAAGCTTTTGAGCAATTGAGTCAGGCAATTGCGAGCCCTCCAACATTAGCATTGCTCGATTTCACAAAAGACTTCATCATTGAGTGTGATGCCTCCGGTCAAGGTGTTGGGGCTGTTCTCATGCAAGAGGGGAGACCACTAGCCTTTTTCAGCAAGGCAACATCACAAAAGTGGGCCAAATCAGTTTATGAACGAGAATTAATAGCAATGGTCTTAGCAGTCCAACGTTGGCGATCCTACTTGCTCAGTAGACGRTTCATAATTCGGACCGACCATCAAAGTTTGAAGTTCTTATTGGATCAATTAGTTCTATCCTCGGAACAACAATGATGGATATCCAAGCTACTGGGGAACGACTACATAATTGAGTACAAAGCAGGGGTTGCTAACCGGGTGGCTGGCGCCCTCTCATGACACCCACAATCATTTCAGTTACTAGTATCTTCCCCAACTTCTCCACTCCTGGATCTACTTCGAAAAGAAGCCCAATCCCATAGGGAGTTACAACAGTTGAAGGCCCAAGTATTGGCAAATCCCTCACTACACCCCAGGTACACCATTAAGAATGATCTACTCTTCTTCAAAGGATGCCTGGAAATTCCGGCAGATTCTGCTCATCTCAGGAATCTCCTGGAATTATTCCATGCCTCACCCACAGGTGGCCACTCCGGCATCCTACGAACACAAAAGTGCATCGCCACACAATTCCATTGGAAAGGCATGTGTACGTCTATCTAGAACTTCATAGCCGGGTGTGCAGTATGCCAACAAAACAAGTCGGCCACTACAACACCAGCAGACCTCTTGCAATCACTCCCAATACCAACCCAAGTCTAGGATGATATATCAATGGATTTCATCACAGGATTGCCCATTTCTGCCGGCAAAACAGTTATCCTTGTGGTAGTGGATAGATTGACGAAATACAGTCATTTCCTACCTCTATCACACCCATTTACAACAGTCACAGTTGCTGAATTGTTCCTTCGGGAAATTGTGCGCCTATACGGGCTCCCCAGCTCAATTGTATCAGATAGGGACCCTATTTTTATGAGCCGTTTCTGGGCTGAGCTTTTTCGCTTGCACGAGGTTAAATTGTTTAAGTCAACTAGCTACCACCCCCAATCTGATGGACAGATAGAGGCGGTTAACAAGAGTCTCGAAACATATCTGAGATGCTTCGCGGGAGATCGACCAAGACAATGGGTGAAGTGGATCCACTGGGCCGAATGGTGGTACAACACCACTTTCCATAGCGCCGCTGGGATGACACCCTTTAGAGCTCTATATGGTCGGGACCCTCCCCCTCTACTTCCTTATGAAAAAGGGACCACCACAGTAGCGGCCGTAGAAGAATAGCCAACACAATGGGATGAGGTGTTAAGGGAACTGAGACGTCATCTCTTACAGGCACAACAATGG